GCTATGGGGCTGTGCTATGGGGCACAGAGCTGTGGGGCACAGAGCTGTGGGGTTGTGCTATGGGGCTGTGCTATGGGGCACAGAGCTATGGGGCTGTGCTATGGGGCACAGAGCTGTGGGGCACAGAGCTATGGGGACACATTGGTGACACACCGGGCTTTAAGGACCCACAGGTGTGAACTCACCAGGATTCGGTGCCACACACAAGGATTGCGTGCCCCCACCTGGACCCACACACTGCCCCACACGGGGCTTTGCACGAGGACTGGTGACACAGTGACTGGGCATGAGGACATGGGACTGCCCCCCCCCACCCCCCCGTGTGCTCACGAGGCCGCCCATGTGCCAACGGTGCACATGTGGGGACAGCAGCGATTGTGCAACACCGGGCTTTGGGGAGGGGGGGGGCACAAACAAACACAAATCGTGCGGTGGTGCCAACTGTTGTGCAACTGTTGTGTGACCGCCCCCAGTGCGGCCCCACAGGGCTCACAAACGGGGTCAGAATGGGTCCGAATAGGGTCAGAAATGGGGTCTGACAACGGGACCAAATGGGGCCACAAAAGCGGCCCCAAATGGGGTCTGAAAGGGGGGCAGAAATGGGGTCTGAAAGGGGGAACAAATGGATCAAAAATGGGTCTGAAATGGGGTCTGAAATGGGGTCCCAAATTTGTCTCAAATGTGGCACTGAATGTGGTCCCAAAAGTGGTTCCAATGGGGCCCAAATGAGGTCCAAAATGGGTCCCAAAAGTGGCACCAAATGTGGAGCCGAATGGGATCCCAAATTGCTCCCAAATTTGGTCCTAAGTGCGGCCTCAAATACGGACCCCAATGTGGACATGAAGGAGATCCTGAATGCGGCCCAAATCAATGGGGAAATGATGAATGGGGAAATGATGAATGCGGAAATGATGAATGGGGAAATGATTGATGGGAAATGACTGATGGGAAAGGATGAATGGGGAATGACGAATGGGGAATGATTGATGAGAAACGATTGATGAGAAATAATTGGTGAGAAAAGATCAACGGGAAATGATGAATGGGGAACGATGAACGGGGAATATCAAGAGGACATGGGGACACTGGGACACAGAGATCTGTGCACATGGGGACACTGGGGACACTGGGGGTCAAAGGGGTCAATGGGGTCAATGGGGACATTGGGGACAATGGAGTAATGGGGGGTAATGGGGGGCAATGGGGACCCTGGGGACACTGGGGACACTGGGGACACTGGGGACATTGGGGACACTGGGGACTTTGGGGACATTGGGGACACTGGGGACACTGGGGACACCCCCAGCGCCGTTGGCCCCACAGCCGCAGCGCCGCCCCTCGACCTGTGGGGCAGAAGCGGCGCGGTGACAACGGGGCGCACCTTGGGGTGGGGCGGGGTGGGGGGGCGGGGCTGCGCGTTGTGCAACCCGTGTTGGGGGGGCACGTCGAGCCCCACCCCTCGCCCCCCCCCCGGCCCCATAAATACCCCCGGGGGGGCGGAGGGGCCGTAATCGCCGCCCGCCATGGAGGTGACGCTGCTGCTGTTCCTGGGGCTCTCCCTCATCCTCCTCCTCGCGGTCCGCGGGCGGCGGGGGTCCGGGGGGGGCCGCCTCCCCCCAGGTCCGACCCCGCTGCCCCTCATCGGGAACCTCCTGCAGATCTCCCCATCCCAAACCCTCAAATCTTTCCTTAAGGTGGGTCCGGGGGGGAACGACCCCCCCCCAAAAAAAAATGATGTGGTTGGGGGACCCCCATGTGGGGGCTGAGGTGGGGTCACGCTTTGGGATCCCCCCCCATTATGGGATTGGGGACTGGGGGGCACTTTAGGACCCCCACCCGATAATTGCTCCGGAGGGCAGCACTTTGGGGACCCCAGCCCTACAGTAACTTTGCGGGGGAGCACTTTGGGGACCCCTCCCCCATAACGACCCTCCCCCATAACGACTTTGGGGACACGGTGACAGCGAGGGGGGGGGCCGGCACTTTGGAGACCCCCACCCCATGATGACCTTGGGGTCAGAGCTGAGCAGTTGATTGACAGTTCTGTGTTGTGCCTCCCTCCTCCCCCATACCCCCCATACCCCCCATACCCCCCATACCCCCCATACCCCCCATACCCCCCCATACCACCCCATACCCCCCCGTCCCCCCGCAGTTACGGGATCGCTACGGCCCGGTGTTCACGGTCTACCTGGGCACGCGGCGGGTGGTCGTGCTGTGCGGCCACCAGGCGGTGCACGAGGCGCTGGTGGAGCGGGCGGAGGAGTTCGCGGGGCGGGGGAGGATGCCGACCGTGGAGAGAACGTTCCATGGGCACGGTGAGGGGGGGGCGTGGGGGCGGCCGCGTGGGGTCACCCGAGTGCCGGGACGTCCCGCCCACCCAGCGCCCCCAGCCCCAACCTCGATCCCCCGCTCCGACCCTCACCCCGAAATCCCCCTCCCGTGCCCCCCCAGCCCAGTATTCCCACCAAACCGTGACACCCCCCACCCCGACCCCCCCATATC